GGCCAGAGGCCAGTCCCACCCGGGAGAAGACCCCTCCCCACCCAATGCTGGGCTGATGCTCAGCAAAGTCTGGTGCAAAGGCACCCCCCCCCCCATGGGCCAGGCAGGGAGAGGAGCGAGGGAATGAAGGGTTCCCCTTGCAGAACGACCACCATAGCTCAGGGGGCAGAACACCTGCTATGCATGCAGAAGGGCCCAGCTTCATTTCCTGGCATTTATTTTATGAAATTTATATACTACCTGATTATATATATAGCTGTCTCCCAGCTCCATCTGGTACACAGGATGAGACCCTCCCTGCCTGCAGACTGTCTCGCCAGAGTGGTGCATGCTCTGGTTATCTCCCACTTGGACTACTGCAATGCGCTCTGCGTGGGGCTCCCTTTAAAGGTGACCCGGAAACGACAACTAATCCAGAATGTGGCAGCTAGACTGGTGACTGGGAGCGGCTGCCGAGACCACATAACACCGGTCTTGAAAGACCTACATTGGCTCCCAGTACGTTTCTGAGCACAATTCAAAGTGTTGGTGCTGAACTTGAAAGCCCTAAACGGCCTCGGTCCTGTATACCTGAAGGAGCGTCTCCACCCTGGACACTGAGGTCCAGTGCTGAGGGCCTTCTGGCGGTTCCCTCATTGCGAGAAGCGAGGTTACAGGGAACCAGGCAGAGGGCCTTCTCGGTGGTGGCGCCCGCCCTGTGGAACACCCTCCCTTCAGATGTGAAGGAAATAAACAACTATCTGACTTTTAGAAGACATCTGAAGGCAGCCCTGTTTAGGGAAATTTTTGAATGTTTGATTCTATTTTAAATACAGTACAGTCATACTTCGGGTTACAGACGCTTCAGGTTGCGTTTTTTTGGGTTACAGACCCACCGAAACCTGGAAGTACCGGAACAGGTTACTTCTGGGTTTCAGCGGTTGCACATGCACAGACACGCTAAATCGCGCTCTGCGCATGCGCAGAAGTGCCGAACTGCAACCTGTGCGTGCGCAGACACAGCGCTGCGGGTTGCAAATGCTGCGGGTTGCGAACGTACCTCCGGCACGGATCATGTTCGCAACCCGAGCGTCCGCTGTATTCTGTATTCTGTATCCAGATGGGTGGGGTATAAATAAATTCTTGTTGTGGTTGTTGTTGTTGCCGCCACATACCCTCCAAGTGCCCCTATTTTCCAGGGACAGTCCCAGAATTACAGAAGCCATCCCAGTTTCTGAGTTGATCCCAGAATGTCCCCCTTTTCCTTTTTTTCTCCCATCCGTGCCTCGGAGAACAAGGGTGGGTGGATGAAAAAAGGGAATCCTGTTTGTACTGAAAATAAAACCCCGCACCCAGTGAAGGAAGTGGTGGATCTGGCAGACAAAGACCTCCCTATCATCTTGAAGGAAAAGGTCACCCATCGACTGGCGATGGAAGCAGGAGGGACTGCAACTTCCCCTCCCTTCCCAATGTGCTGACTTGGTAGCAGGAGGGGGGGCTGGGGGAGGGAGTGGGAACGCAGCCTCTCCCTGGCTTAACTGTGCCTGGCAAAGCTGGCAGGGCCTGGCAGGGGGGTGGGGAGGCAGCCCTGGCACTCCACTCCTGGGATTCAGGCTTCCACAGGCCGGCTCCATCTCTCGCCCAGTTCTGCCTTTTTGTGGGTGACTGCAAATGCCTCCTTGCGCTCTTGCTGGGGGCTGGCTCAGCTCTCCCTCGAAGCTGGGGAAATTAATAATAATACAGTGGACGCTCGTGTTGCGAACGTGATCCGTGCGGGATGCACGTTCGCAACCCACAGCATTCGCAACCCGCAGCGGCGCGTCTGCGCATGAGCAGGTTGCAATTTGGCGCTTCTGCGCAAACTGCGATTTAGCGATTCTGCGCATGCGTAACTGCCAAAACCCGGAAGCAACCCATTACGGTAAATAAATTTTTTATTTATACCCCGCCTGTCCCAGTTCAAAAGCTGAGCTCAGGGCGGCTAACAAAAAATTTAAAACACTTAATTATAAAAGCAGCATAAAATACTGTATAAAAACATGAATAACAATAAAATTCAAAATTCAATTTAGGGCAAATAAGCATTAGATAATCCCCAGGGCTAACTGGCTGAATTGGTCCTACTTGGGCCAGCGAGGAGACCAGGGGAGAATTAGCTGTGGGGTCTCAGAGCAGGTGATCTTCATAAAAGGGGAGGGGGAGGGAAGAGAAGAGAAGGGAAATTCTCTCTGAAAAGTCAGATTTTTGCTTTCCAGGAACCCAAAGCGGAGAACGTGCCAAACTCCAATTTCCCAGAAGGCTGAGCAGTGCGCCGAGTGTCTCAGGAGAGTTTTTTCTCCAAGGCTAGACCACCGGGCGACCCAGGTGCTCTCCCCTTTGCCCCTCGCCTCTCCTGTCTCTGAACTTTGAATGTATTGTGGGATTATTGCAGTACCATTTTGGGGGGCTGTTTTTAGGCTGATTCTGCCCCCCTCCTGCTTTGGTTGATGTTGTTTGGCATGGGAAGGGCTGTAGCTCAGTGGGCAGGCAATCCACTCTTCATGAAGAAGGGCCTGGGTTCAAGTCCAGCTGGCATCTCCACTGCTGCCAGTCAGTGTGGGCAACACAGAACTAGGTGGACTTGCTGTTTAGTCTTTTAGTCGTGTCCGACTCTTCGTGACCCCCTGGACCAGAGCACGCCAGGCATGCTATGTGGACCAGCAGTGCCCAATGCTCCTATGTTTGTTTTTATCGGTGATATATACAGCAAATACGTGTGTGTGATATTTATTGTTCAAAGATATACAAAAGTTCATACCCAATGCAAAGTATTTTTTTATAATGCACTGAAATAAAAGAAATGTTTAATCTAAAAGGGAATGGAGTTGGAAAGAAAAAATTAAAAGGGAAAGGAAGGAAGAGTGAAAGGGGAGAGAGAGAGAGAGAGAGAGAGAGAGAGAGAGAGAGAGAGAGAGAAAAGAATAATGAATGTAATAGTACTATAACAGTGGTATATTTTGATGATGACAATGATGGTGTACCATAAACCACCTGAATATTTCTGCTGAAGGATGGTGTGTTTGTGTGTGCTTAAAGGTAAAGGTAAAGGGACCCCTGACCATTAGGTCCAGTCGTGGCCGACTCTGGGGTTGCGGCGCTCATCTCACTTTATTGGCAGAGGGAGCCGGCGTACAGCTTCCGGGTCATGTGGCCAGCATGGCTGAGCCGCTTCTGGCGAACCAGAGCAGCGCACGGAAATGCTGTTTACCTTCCCACCGGAACGGTACCTCTTGATCTACTTGCACTTTGAGGTGCTTTCGAACTGCTAGGTTGGCAGGAGCTGGGACCAAGCAATGGGAGCTCACTCCGTCACGGGGATTCGAACCGCCGACCTTCTGATCGGCAAGTCCTAGGCGCTGTGGTTTAACCCACAGGTAAATAAGAAAAGCTAGTTTTGCAAATGCTCCGCAACCTCCGAGCATCCTTCCCCCACGTTGCCTCTGCTGCTACAGAGAAGGCCTGAGATATATGTGGGGGAGACCTGCTGTGGAAAATGCAAGGGCAATTCTGATGGCATCTTTCTCCCTCCTTACACTAATTAATGCTCCACCAGTAAACCTCACCTGCCCTTTGAACTTGTGCAGGAGAAATTCATGAGAACACAAGGAGAACCTGGCAGCAGGATCAGACCCAAGGCCCACAGCAGCCATTCGCCTTCCTGGCAGATCACGCCTTGTGAGTGACATTTGCTTGTCCTTTCCTCTGCTGCAAAACCCAGATCAACCTGTTTCCCGCACTCGCCATGCCTTGCGATAAGGCTGCCAGCCTGGGATCAGGGTTCACAACCCCCAACATGCCAGCCAAGGGAGACCCATAAATGATGGTGCCATTTTAAAGGGGCACCCAGAGGAGAGGCCACATGCACAGGCTGTGTCCAAAATATGCCCGGAGACATTCAATCTCTACAACAACCCTGCGAGGCAGACGAAGAACCTAAGCAGAGGTGAGGACTGGCCCCAGGTCACTTCGTGGCCAAGGGACAGGATACGAAACCCGGTCTCTTCCAGGTCGTTTCCAAACACAATTCAAAGTGTTGGTGCTGACCTTTAAAGCCCTGAATGGCCTTGGCCCAGTATACCTGAAGGAGCGTCTCCACCCCCATTGTTCAGCCCGGACACTGAGGTCCAGCTCTGAGGGCCTTCTGGTGGTTCCCTCACTGCGAGAAGCCAAGTTGCAGGGAACCAGGCAGAGGGCCTTCTCGGTGGTGGCGCCCACCCTGTGGAACGCCCTCCCATCAGATGTGAAGGAAATAAGCAGCTATCTTATCTTTAAAAGACATCTGAAGGCAGCCCTGTTTAGGGAAGATTTTAATATTTAATGCTGTATTGTTTTTAACACTCGATTGGGAGCCGCCCAGAGTGGCTGGGGAAACTCAGCCAGATGGGTGGGGTATAAATAATAAATTCTTATTATTACAGTGGTACCTCGGGTTACATACACTTCAGGTTACATACGCTTCAGGTTACAGACTCTGCTAACCCAGAAATAGTACCTCAGGTTAAGAACTTTGCTTCAGGATGAGAACAGAAATCGTGCTCTGGCGGCGCAGCGGCAGCAGGAGGCCCCATTAGCTAAAGTGGTGCTTCAGGTTAAGAAGAGTTTCAGGTTAAGAACGGACCTCCAGAACAAATTAACTACTTAACCCGAGGTACCACTGTATTATTATTATTATTATTATTATTATTACAGGTCCTAAGAAGAGCACTCTAACCACTACACCCCGCTGCCCTTCTCATCCCCTGCCTCGAGCAGAGCGCTGCCCCTCCTCGCCCTGCCAGGAGCGGCCTTGGGTACCACCCGCCGCGCATCCCTCTCCGCCGCTGCATCCCTCCGGCGCGCAGCCTGCAACAAAGGCTGGACTCCATCCCCCGGCGTGCTTTGCGAGGCATGGGCGGGGCCAGGCGGGCAGGAGGGGCTGGTGGTGGGCGGGGTCTGGGGACAAGAGGGAGCCCTCCCTCCCTCCCCCCCCCGCCCCGCTCGGCAGCATCAGCATCTCGCCCCTCCCTCCTGTTTTGCTCCTTCATTCTCTCGCATCCGCGGAGGCAGCAGCTGCTTCTGCTGAGCTGCAATGAATGAGGCTCCCGCCCGGGGAGCCCGGAGCCTTGCCCGGCCGCGACGCCGCCTGGAACCGCCGGTGGGTCACCTCGGGAGGAGGCGCGAGCACTAGGCGGGCAGCCAGGCAGCCAGCTTGCCCCGCGCGAAGGTAGGAAGCGAAGCCAGCCCGCCAGCCAGCCCCCTCGCTCCAAAACAAGAGGGGAGGGCTGAAGACCTCCCCCCCCAGCCCTGCCCAGCCTTGCCCAGCGGAGGGATGCGCCAGGATGGGTGGCCCAGGGCGCTCCAGGGCTGCGGCGGGATGCCCAGAGCGGGTCACGCCTAGCCGCATCCATTGTGCCCAGCGAGGGGACTGCTAGCCGCCGCCACAGCCTCCTGTCAGCAGCGGTGCCAGTGTCGCAGCAGCAGCCCGAGGGAGGAGAAGCCCCCATGCCCAGCCCGCCCCCCTGACAGCCACAGGTCGAGGGGGAGCCCGCCAGGGGCAAGGGAGGCGCCATGGCCACCCGGCCGCCCAAGAGCAGCGAGGCCCTGAAGGTGGTGGTACGCTGCCGGCCGATGCACCGGAAGGAGGAGGCGGCAGGCTACGAGCGGATCCTGGACCTGGACGTCAAGCTGGGGCAGGTGACCATCCGGAACCCCAAGGCCTCCCCGGGGGAGCTGGCCAAGACCTTCACCTTTGATGCCGTCTACGACGCCAGCTCCAAGCAGGCCGACCTGTACGACGAGACCGTGCGCCCGCTGATCGACTCGGTGTTGCAGGGCTTCAACGGGACCATCTTTGCCTACGGGCAGACGGGCACGGGCAAGACCTACACCATGCAAGGCGCCTGGGCCGACCCGGAGAAGAGGGGCGTCATCCCCCTCTCCTTTGAGCACATCTTCACCCACATCTCCCGCTCGCAGAACCAGCAGTACCTGGTGAGGGCCTCCTACCTGGAGATCTACCAGGAGGAGATCCGGGATCTGCTGGCCAAGGACCAGAGCAAGAAGATGGAGCTGAAGGAGAACCCGGAGACCGGCGTCTACATCAAGGACCTGTCCTCCTTCGTGACCAAGAATGTCAAGGAGATTGAGCACGTCATGAACCTGGGCAACCAGGCGCGCTCCGTCGGCAGCACCAACATGAACGAGTACAGCTCCCGCTCGCACGCCATCTTCGTCATCACGGTGGAGTGCAGCGAGGAGGGGCCCGACGGAGAGGACCACATCCGCGTGGGGAAGCTGAACCTGGTGGATCTGGCCGGGAGCGAGCGCCAGAGCAAGATGGGCACCCAGGGGGAGCGCCCCAAGGAGGCCTCCAAGATCAACCTGTCCCTCTCCGCCCTGGGCAACGTCATCTCGGCCCTGGTGGACGGCAAGAGCACCCACATCCCCTACCGGGACTCCAAGCTCACCCGCCTGCTGCAGGACTCCCTGGGCGGGAACGCCAAGACCATCATGGTGGCCACGCTGGGCCCGGCCTCGCACAGCTACGACGAGAGCCTCTCCACGCTGCGCTTCGCCAACAGGGCCAAGAACATCAAGAACAAGCCGCGGGTCAACGAGGACCCCAAGGACACGCTCCTGCGGGAGTTCCAGGAGGAGATCACCCGGCTGAAGGCCCAGCTGGAGAAGAGGGGGATGCTGAGCAAGAAGAGGAGGAGGAACAGCCGGAGGAAGAAGTCGGCCGGAGGGGAAGGGACCCCCGAGGCGGAGGACGGGGAGGAGGACGGGGGTCTGGAGAAGGACATGAAGAACTACCTGAAGGAGCAGAAGGAGAGGCTGGAGGAGGAGAAGGCAGCCATCCAGGACGACCACAGCCTGGTGAGCGAGGAGAAGCAGAAGCTGCTGCAGGAGAAGGAGAAGATGATCGAGGAGCTGCGGAAGGAGCAGGAGGCCACGCAACTCCTGGCCACAAAGTATAAGGTAAGGCTCGGCCGTTTCTAGGTGGCGCTTTGCGCATGCACGCAGCCACTGCGCAGCCCCCACACCAGCCCTGCAAGGCTGGGCCTTGTGTTCATGGAAACGTAGAATGGTAGAGATGGAAGGGACTCTATGAACCTCCTGCAATGCAGGGATCATAGCTGACAGATCCATGACAGATGGCCGTCCAACCTCTGTTTAAGACCACCATTCGAGGGAGACCGTTCCACTGCTGAACATCTCTTATTGCCAGAAGGTTCTTCCTCATGTTGAATCTCCTCCATTGTCATTTGAACCCATTGGTTGGGGTCCTTCCTTCCAGAACAGGAGAAAACAAGCTTGCTCTGTCTTCCAGATCTGAAGATGGCTCTCATTTCATCCTTCAGTCTCCTCTTTTCCAGGCTAAACATACCCAGCTCCCTCAAGTGCATCCAGGCCCATTACTCAAGTGAGCAAGCAGGGGGGTGGGACAAAGACTCTGCAAAGGACATCCAGGCTGTCTTCAAGGCCACATGCACGATGGTTGAAGGAAGGCAGCCCTTTGGCAGCCTTGCCCACTTCCCCTCCCAACGCTCTCCCTTCCATTGGAGGTGAAGCCGTGTTCTGGTTCACAGAGCTGACTGTCCGTGGTCCTGGGGGTGTTAACTATCTGAGGAATGGTGGGATCCTGCACCCGACGGCTCCCACGGCTCACGTTCCGCCTGCTGGGCCGTGCACCTGGGTGTCCGGCTTGCGCTGGCCGCAGTGGCGGCTGGGCCTGCTGCCTCGGTTTCTGCGCTGTCACGTCTGAGATTCCTTTGCAGGGGCTGTCAGAGGCTGCTCCATCTGGCCTCCTCGCAGTGGGAGGGGCTGAGCCGAGGGGGCAACAAAGCCCAGGAGGGGGTCGGGGCTAATCAGCTCCCGCCACACAACAAAAGCAGCCGCGCAGAAACCGCCACATCCCTCCCTGTGTGGAGGTGACCTCCTGCGCACGCATTGGCCAGCCTGAGGCAGGGAGGGGGCCGGCTAAGAGGACCCCCCTGCCCGTCCAAGGGGGTCTCCTTTTGTCTCTCCAAGTGGCTGTTGACAGAAGCTGCCGCCGCTGCCTCCCTGCCTGTGGCATCTTCTTTTCCCGCATCCCCTCAATTTTGGCACCTAATACCCCCCCTCACAGATGGATACCCTGTGCAAATAAATGGGTCTGGGGTGCAGCTGGGGGCTCCTCTCCCCTGGACCTGCCTTTGGCTGTGGGCAAGCACAGCGTGTCACTCTGGGTCAGCCACCCCCCCTGCCCCCGGGGGTGGGAGGGAGGGAGGAGCCCCTTGTGGACGAGGGTGTGTCTCAGGCCTCCCAGCACTGCCCCCCCAGCCCAAGACTTGGCCTCCAGCCCACTCTGGTGACAGATACCTGCCATGGGGCGCTGGCCACCGTGAGACAGTCTCTGTGCTGTCCTCTCTGGGGTGGCGCTGGGGGGCACAAGCCCAAGTTTACAGGGAGGTCCAGGAGAGAAGGCCGGGGTCTCGGCGCCCGGACTCCATCCTGGAGAGCCCTGCTCTGACCCACTGAAGTAGCCCCCCCCCTCCCAGAGAATACAAGGATCCAGTTGTGCAAAAACCCCACACAATTTATTTCTTTTTAAATCATTTTTATAGATTTCCCAATAAAAAACATCCAGTTAAATATCCAATCATAATACTTCAATTAAAATAAAAAACTTAAATCAAAAAGATCAAATTATAGTCCAAATTATGTTGATTAATTTCTCGGAGCGCCCCACGGTCTCTGAAGCGTATCTCCACCTCTTAGTCCTCCTTCTCCTGAAACCCCACACAATTTCATGCTGATGGCAGCAGAGGCGGGTCCCAGGCTGGCCTTGCTTCCCTGCCCAAAATAAACGCAGCATTTTAAAAGTTGCTAGATCAGGGAGAGCCAGCGGAGACACTTACCCTCAAGGAAGCTCACAGCGTGACCTTGCGCCGCCTGCTCTCGCCCAGGCTGGCCTACCTCAGGAGGCCGTTGTGAGGATAAAACATGCGCGTTTGTGTGAGACCCTTCCGCCTTCCCTGTGCCTCCTTGGAGGGAGAGCAGCAATAAACAAAAGATGAAAGTAGATCGCATTCTCCTCCGAGAAATCCTATTCCACACTCCCTGCTGTCCCTCTTGTCTTCAGACGCGTGTGTAGGCCAAGGCTTAATTTGATCGTGTGAGCAGGGCTGTCTTTAGCATATGCGCCGTTAGGGTGCAAAGATCCACCCAGCACCCCAAATTTAGTTAATTTCGCGTGCATGGCGCATCTGAGAATGACAAGCGCCGTCGTTGAGTCTGAGAAGCGCCACCGTTGTGAATGACAAGCGTTGTTGCGGCGCATCTTTTGTAAATAAGCGTGCAAAGCCGAAAGTCCTTTAGTGAAACAGTAGGTATACATTTCGGTAATACCTAGGTATATATGTATTTTGTTTTTCTAGCTTGATCAAAATTATTTATTATTTCATAACAGGTAGATAGTTAAGGGGACATGGGTGACGCTGTGGGTTAAACCACAGAGCCCAGGACTTGCTGATCAGAAGGTCGGTGGTTCGAATCCCTGCGACGGGGTGAGCTCCTGTTGCTCGGTCCCTGCTCCTGCCAACCTAGCAGTTCTAAAGCACCTCAAAGTGCAAGTAGATAAATAGGTACCACTCTGGCGGGAAGGTAAATGGTGTTTCCATGCGCTGCTCTGGTTTGCCAGAAGTGGCTTAGTCCTGCTGGCCACATGACCCGGAAGCTGTACGCCGGCTCCCACGGCCAGTAAAGCGAGATGAGCTCCGCAACCCCAGAGTCGGCCATGACTGGAGCTAATGGTCAGAGGTCCCTTTACCTTTACCTTTTAGATAGTTAAGAGGTTAGGCAGCTTCAGCGGCGAGTGCTGGTGCTCCCCAGAATTCGGCGCTCGGGTGCCCCGCATCCCTTGCACTCCCGGGTAAAGACAGCCCTGGATGTGAGAGCCTCGTAACAAAAAGGGTGTCTCTGAGCATGGCCAGAGTGCTCCCCCCTGGACCCCCTTTGTGGATTGTCCACATGAGCTCTGCCTCGTTGGGACCCTGCCAGGTCTGTCCTCCCCTGTCCCCCCACAACTCCCAGGGGCTTGCCTGGGGGGCTCAGCCTGGACTAGAACAGAGCAGGAGCTCCGCCGCACAACCTGCACCCAGGACTCAAAGCGTATTCTCAGTCCTGGGGCCCAGGAGGCGGAATCATGCCTCTGAGCATGCGCAAACCACTGGCCCATCTTGGCCGAGTAACCACCACACCTGACCTAGGCACACCTAACCGCGGCTTCGCTCTTTACGCTCCCAGAAGCCCTACAGGATGAGGGTGAGCGCGCACTGACTCCCTTGCCAACCTCCACCCATTGCCTTAAGCAGGGAGGGTCAGAATCATGCTTCTCCACCCTCCCCTTTGCAAAAGGGTCTGTTGCATGACAGAAAAAAAATCCCCTTGACTGTGTCCTTTTTGAGGGCTGGAGTAACTTCCCTGAATCTTCGCTGGAGAGGGATTTCATTTGGCTCTTCTCACTGGTGTGGGGACAGTCCTCTCTGCACATGCCCAGAGGCACTGTCTTCTAGGTTCTCTGGGAGCTTTCTTGGCACTGAAAGCTGAGCCGTGGAGATCCTTGAGAGAGAATCCAGGGCCCCTCTGTGGATTTGTGAGGGGAGAAGGCAGTGTGGGGGATGCCTGGTGAGGTAGAGCTCAGAGGACTCAGAGCACGTGCAGAGTGCAAAAACTGGCCCTCGAGTAGGCAAAGGATTAGGCCTCACCCACTGTCAACACATCCACATATTTCCATTATGAGTGCAAAGAGTGATATTTAGCCTGGAGAAGAGGAGGCTGAGAGGGGACAACAGAGCCATCTTCACCTGTCTGAAGAGCTGCCCCATGGAAGAGGGAACAGGCTTGTTTTCTCTGCTCCGGAGGGTAGGACTCGAACTCGTGGCTTCAGGTCACAAGAAAGGAGATTCCGGCTGGACATCAGGGAGACCTTTCTGAGGGCAGGGGCTGTCCGACAGTGGAACGGTGATGACCTCTCCTTCCTTGGAGGTCTTCAATCAGAGGTTGGGTGGCCGCCTGTCAGGAATCCTTCGGTTGTGATTCCTGCATTTCAGGGGGTTGGACTAGATGTCCCTTGGAGGTCCCTTGCAACTCCATGCTTCTGAGAGAGGCAGGGTTTTGGTGAGGTACAGAGTGGGGCCTTCCTTGCCACCAACATGTCACCTCGCGACATTCCCAGATCTCCTGCCCATTCACCTCCTTCCACTAGGAACCCATTCGCTGCCATTTCTGGATCCTGGCAGCGGTTGCTCAGTGGTGAGAGACGCGCCCTTTGCACATGCCCAGGGGCGCTCTCTTGCTTGTCGTTTCTGGGCTCGGCCAGGCTCATTCTTGCTTGAGCTTCCAGAGGGAGCCTGCTGCATCTGGCTGACCCCTCGCAGCTGCACAGGAAGGGGGGGCAGAGCCTGCATGAATGGCCCCCTCTGTCCGGCACCGTCGCTCCCCCCCCCCCCCCCGTGAACAAGGACAATGAATTAGCGAGGGGCAGGCATGGGCTGAGCCTTGGGAATCAAGGGCCCCCTTGTCTTTGGACGGCGATGGAGGCGGCTTTGCGAAGAGAGGGGTGGGAAGGGGGTCACGCAGGGAAACCAGTGGGGCTCCAGCAGCCGTCCAGCTTCCCAGACCCCTATCTGGGCTGGTTGGGTGTGTCATCTCTACCCCCCCCCCCGGTCATGGGAGTTCTGGGGAAGCTGCCCTCTCTCAGCCCCCACGGTGTGGGGAGGAGCAGAGCAAGTGCGCTCAGAGGGTCGGACACGAGGGACCCGGGTTCGAATCACTGCTCAGCCATGGAGCTTACTGGGCGTGGCCTTGGGCTAGTCACCCACTTTCGGCCTTGCCCACCTCACAGGGTGGTTGTGGGGATTCAGTGAGGAAGGGGAGGACCAGGGGCTTTTTGGAGGAAAACGTGAGAGAGAAACGCGGTGAATGAATGAATATTA